TGAATTTATGTTTTAAATGTGAATTGAAATATAGAATTAAATTTAATTAGTTTATATTAATTTTAGGATATTATTGTTTGTATTACAATAAGTGTTATTGTTGAATTTATGTTTTAAATGTGAATTGAAATATAGAATTAAATTTAATTAGTTTATATTAATTTTATGATATTATTGTTTGTTATGTTGTTTCTTATTTTGATTAAGTTTAATTGTTATTTATGAATTTGTATTAATGGTAGTTGAAAATATATAGACATTGAATTTCTATAGATGTTAGGTTTTATCGAGTTTATTTTGCAATATTTGTGTAATTATCAATATTTGTAGGTTTTAAAATTGTTGATAGTCTTAAATATAGGGGAGGTGCTACCGAATTTTTGTTAATGATTGAATTTCTATAGATATTAGGTTGTATAAGTTGATTTTTCAATATTTATGTAATTATCAATATTTGTAGGTTTTAAAACTGTAGTTAGTCTCAAATATAGGGAAGATGTTGTCGAATTTTTGTTAATGATTAAATTTCTATAGATATTAGGTTATATATATGATGTAGCTGGAGTCAATTGGATTGTGGTTATTGTAAAGATTGCAGGTTTGAAAACTGTAGGTATTCTCCAGTACAGGGGAGGTGCTATCAAATGTTTTTTTAAATAATCAAAGTTAATTATGTTATAATTCATATAGATTTGTGTTGATACATCGAATGAAAACTACAGCACATGGTCAACAGACGGTTGCAACTAATTCTTCTCATAGCGAGGAGGACATCTCCTTAGGTGCTGATCATAACGATGCATCTGCACCAACTTCTGATGCTGCCTCTTCTAGCCCGGTTTCACAGCGCAGAGGCAGTGTGCCTTCATAACAAGGTCAATTCACCCGCAAGTACCAAGCATAATGGAAGAATGACCTTTCAATGTAAGTTTGTTTAGGATTTAGTTTTTTTATATATATACTTATAACATAATTTATGAACAATTAATTAATTTTTTAGTATTTAATTTCAGGTTCACAAACATTGAGGCTGTTAGGGCAATTACATTGGCATTTAAATCATCGATGGAGATTTCATTGTTTCAATGGAGTCAGGTCTCCAGACATCCTAAGTGGAGACCTAATATCGATGTCTGGCAGCGATTTCAGGTATATGTTAATTTTAAATTTCCAGTTTATTTTTAATAAATAATTTTTGAAATTTTATATCTTGTATTATTTTTATTTTCAATGAATTATTTATATACACAGAATAAATTTGAGTGGGATAGTGCGGACAACAATGTTGTTAGGAGGGTATAGGAGAATCACGTGACAACTAGGTAACATCAAAAATAATATTTATTTTTTATTTATAATTTTATGTTCCAAATTCTAATTAGTTACCATGGAAGTAGATTACGTGATTTTAGGTATGACACCCAAAGAAAGACAAAAAGATATGCGATGGACAACAGTCTTGAAGGATGGAATGAGGTGGCGGTTTCCCAGGAATTCAAACCGCCATTCATCACAGGAGATATATGGGTGGCATATATTGAACATGTGATGTCTGAGTGGTTCTCACGACGCTCACAATCTGGAGCCGTCAACCAGAACCAGTAAATTCATGGTTCAGTGACCGTTCAATGCACATGCAAAGCGGATGGTAAGATTAATTTAGATGAAATATATCATTAATTAATTTGTTGTTGCTTATAAATATATTTAACTTGCAATCTTTTTTTTCCTCGAAAAGCTACATTTTTTTCCTTACAAGCTACATCTCTTGGATGTGAGCCGAGTGCAATGGAGCTATTTGTAGAGACACACGTGTGAAGTTAAGACCGCCAAAAAAGGGTGCAGCAATACGTGGACAGCCATGCTCAGCATTTTGTGATATGTTCGTTCAATCATTTTATTTCATAAGTTATTATTTTCTTGAATTGAATATGATGATTTAAAAAAAAAATCAGGAGACCTATAATAGCCAGTTGAGGGAGAGATAAGGGGATGATCCTTCGACCCATCCAGATTTCAATTCAGATTTGTGAATGGAGACTGGATCCTCTGGTGGACCCGATAAAAATCAGGTTTACGGGCTCTCCCACGCTACGACCGAAAACTTGCAGTCAGCCCATAGTGTCTCAACCGTTGGGAGCTCTCCATCAGTATCGAGCACCCAGTTAGAAGAGTTCTTAACCTTGAAACAACAATATGAACGCCTTTCGACGGATTATGCTCAGCTCTATCAAATGGTCATGGAGATTAGATCAAATATGGGTAATGATACGTACACTGCTCCTTTTTTATCGTACGGGAGTATGAACAACAAAAAGCGGCTTACAAACAACTTCAGCCTCCTCCTCCTCCTCCTCGAGCTCCACCACTATTATGATTAGTTTAATTTTAAAAAAAATATTTAATTTGTAATGAATATTTTGATGAATATTATTTAATATTATTTTATATTTTTAATGTTTAATACAAATTTATTTGGTTATTAAGTTTTTTTACTGTTAATAAATAATTTTTTAAAAATAATTGAAATAAATACCAACGATATTACCGAGGCAACATGGTCGTCGGTATTTTACCGAGAGTTGGAAAAAATTTACGAGCCGTGCCACAATCACCGATAGATAAATTCCATCAATATTGACCCCGACTATTACCAATAGATTTATTCCATTGGTATTTGTCAAAGTTCGCCCATGCCATATTCACTGACGGCTAGTTCATTGGTAATTACCATTTAAAATACAGACAGAATAATTTCATCGGTACATTTCTCGCGCAAATGTTTTTTGGTGCGGTGAGCCGTCTGTAATACCGTCGGTGTTCCGTCAATGGTTTTTTTTTAATTGCCGATAGAATGAGCAATGGAAAGAGAAATTACCAACAATAACGCTCCAACAGACGGATTTGTCGATGACACCATCAATAAAAATTTTACCAACAGGTTTAGTTCATCTCACCAACGAAATTAATCCATCGATAAAACTGCTTAATGATGTAGTGTGCAGGAATAATGATCAGAAATCAGGAGGGTTTTTGCTTTCTTTCCATGCATCCCATCCTTTAAGTGGGTTAATGGATTCCAATCCTCACGGCTTCTCCATGCTACCTACTACTTTCTTTGAAGAGATGAAGAAAGATTCTTGGGAATTGACGGGAATCATGAACTGAACAGACATGATCCCGGATGGCATAATAGAAGAGATTTTGTGATGGTGACCGTGTTTTAACAGGCGCTTCGATTGTAAAGGATGGTTTGTAGTTGGCTCTCTTTGATTAAAAATAATCAGGTATACGGTAAGAAAGAGTTTTACTTAATTCTCTTTCTCACGTGAAGGAGAAGATTTTCCATTGACTGAGTTATCTTCATGAATTTATCATGATGTTTTTAGCTTTAAATCACTCATAATATTTTTATAAAAAACTTGATTGGGAGTTAAAAAAATCAAAACAAATTTATTTTTCAAAAAAAAATGACAACGAAAACAAAAATTGATGTTTTATGATATCTTAATTAATGATTGCTTTAAAACAAGACTTCCTGTTCATGATCTCTTGGGGGGGCGAAAAGATTATGACCAGACGTTTCTCCAAACTCCAAGCTCGAGGAAAAATCAGCAAATTCGGCCGACCTGTTGTCGATCACTTGGAATAACTTTGTTTTTTTAAAGAAATTATTTAGGCAAAATCAGCTAGGACGAGCAATTTGGATAGTGATGTAAGAAATTAAACATATATTTATTAATTATATTTTATAAAATAAAAATTATTCCCACTTGATCGTTTAAAAAAAAAAACTTGAAATACAAAATAAAAATCGTTTAAAATATCACTTATCAAATATACATAAAATATAAAATATAAAAAGTAAGATATTTTTTTAATATTTTAAAAAATCACATTTATAATTTTAATCAAGAACTTCTTAACCATGGAATGAATCTTACCAAGACACAAAATCAGAGAGTGAAGCCCTACCATCCTCAATAAGTCTCACAAAGGAACTTTTCCACTCCACAAAGAGTTGCTTTGAGCTTGATTGATGGCACAACCGGGTGTTATTATCTCTTAATTTCATCCAAAAATAAAAAAAGAACTGGTATTATCTGCTTTTCCTTAAAATGAATATCAGCCGGTTTAATCAGTGAATTGACTTGAGCTTTTTGAACTGAATCTCTTACCAATTCTCCTCCGTTGCATCGAGAAACTACACATAAAAGTTTTCTTGTCTAATTCAGTCCCTTATCTTTGTTCAATTTGGATCCAATGGGGTGGGGATATCACACTCGTGGGCTTGTAGCGAACGCAGGATTGAGATTTTCGTCATAGCTTTTGCATTATTTTTTGCTTGCTAAAGCCTATAGCCTCACGCAGTTAATTCCTTTGCAATCATGGCTGAAATAATGGTGGGAGCACGCCAGGCATTCTTTTTACGTAACAATAGCAGTTGAGATTCTTAAGGTTTAGGGTAGGGTTTCCTACATAGGACATGACCCGACAGAAAGAAAATTTTCGCATATGGTTCGATCAATATGCTGTTTACCTGTCCAATTGACCAAGGCTTTCTGATCAGCCCCACATGACCCTAGTATTTGTCCCAATGTCTTACGTTTTACATGATCTTTCAATTCCCATAACGATAGTACGATAAAGAAGAAACAAGATTGGAACGCTGGGATGGCCACTTTCCAGCCAGAGATGGTGAGGTTGTGGCTGCAGGAACGTAAACCACTAGATGAATACGTCCAAGTTGCTCACATATTTTTCTGTAATATTATTAAAAATTAATATAAATTATATATTAATATTTCATTTAATAGCTTAACTTACATAATTGATATGGTTTTTTTGATATAGTATTAGAATCTTAATAATCAAACAGTTAAAAGTTTAAATTTTATTATTTTTATTTATTTAATAAAAATTAAATATAAAATAATATAAGTGTGTAACTTTCACCCCACCCACCTAATTGTTTAAATTATTGGGTCAAGTAGTTATTTGAAAAGTATAAAAAAATAACAAGCCACTCTTCACCGGTAGAAAAAAATTGCAACAGTTGCCTTCTTCCGATGTCCAGCGCCTTCCATATTTATATTCCCTCCAGATCACGAACTCATTCACCAATTCTCTTGAGTACTACAGAACCAAGTAGTTATTTCCTCATGCACTCCCATTCTGTTCTTCGTTTGTAAAGTGAAGGTCTACATAGCACCGATACTTGCTCTCTGTCTCTCTCCCTTCAAAAATGGTACATGCTTGCGTGAACATCTTCACTACAGTGATACCGGATATTTCATAGTTATTTGGCTTATTTCTCTTATCACCTCAACTGTAACAGGTTTTAGCAGCAGGCCTGGGCGGGGAAGATGGCGCACATAATGATCCTGCAGTAGACTTTCGAGGAATTCCTGTGGACAAGTCCAGAACTGGAGGATGGCTTGCTGCGGGGCTCATTCTGGGTGCTTCTCACTAACAAGAGTCAATGTCTTATACATCTAAGTATATGTGCTGAAGCACCTGGCTAATCTCTACTCCAATTTGTTTTGCAGTAACCGAGCTTTCGGAGAGAATATGTGTCATGGGCATATCAATGAACTTAGTGACATACCTCGTCGGAGTATTGCATATTTCATCGGCAAAATCTGCAAACATGGTCACCAACTTCATGGGTACTCTCAACCTTCTTGGCCTCTTTGGGGGTTTCTTGGCAGATGCTAAGCTCGGTCGGTACTTGACAGTTGCGATCTTCGCAATAGTAACTGCTTTGGTAAGTTTCGAGGTAATATATTGCATGCCAACGTGTCACTAACTTAAAGAAGATAAAATGCCACGTTATCTCTGATAATTAATCATGCTTTAGTATCAACGTGAGGGCTGCAAACCTGCTCTTGCATCATTCTGAGACACCCTTCCAAGTCCCAGCTGAGAAAAACCAGTAGCATGTTAGGTAATCACGAGGCCAAACATTGATGAAGGTTCTAAGTAGACCTAAAATCTGTACTCTAGGCTTGCCAAAAGCTGCGCACAATTATTTCTTTTTTCAAGCCTTGCTGCTGATTCCTTTCCATATGCATCAGGGGGTCAGTCTACTAACAGTAGCCACAACCATTCCTAGCATGAGACCCCCGCCATGCGATGACTACAGGAAACAGAATCATCAGTGCATCGAGGTGAAAGGAAATCAACTGGTTCTCCTATATGCAGCGCTTTATACAGTAGCCCTTGGTGGTGGTGGAATTAAGTCCAATGTCTCGGGTTTTGGATCTGATCAGTTCGATCAAACAGATCCCAAGGAGGAGAAGACAATGATTTTCTTCTTCAATCGGTTTTATTTTTGCATTAGCATGGGGTCATTGTTTGCAGTTATAGTGCTGGTATATGTACAAGATAACGTCGGAAGAGGGTGGGGGTATGGAATTTCAGCAGGGACAATGGTGATCGCAGTAGCACTGTTGATCTGTGGTACTCCACGGTACCGTTTCAAGAAGCCTCAAGGTAGCCCATTAACTATCATATGGAGGGTATCGTTACTGGCATGGAAGAAAAGGAAACATCCTTATCCTTCACATCCCAGCCTTCTGAATGAGTATGATAGTGCCACAGTTCCCTACTCAGAGAAACTCAAGTAAGTTGAACAATTACTTCAGAAACAACGATTTACTGGATTATTCTCATGTCGTTTTAAGGAAAATGTCCTTTCTTATATCCATCTATTATTACTGTCACCACTCGTACAAGTATTCTCGCAGAAATTTACCAGATTCCATTTCTTCTCATGTGTTACTCGTCAGGTGTCTTGACAAGGCTGCGATCATAGATGATCCCACCTCCATCGGTGCGGGAAAAAATGACCCTTGGATAGTATCAACTGTTATGGAAGTTGAGGAGGTGAAGATGGTGCTAAAGCTCATCCCAATTTGGTCTACATGTATCCTCTTTTGGACAGTTTACTCTCAAATGATTACTTTCACTATTGAGCAAGCAACCTTCATGGATCGAAAAGTTGGCTCTTTGGTTATTCCTTCAGGTTCATACTCCACCTTTCTCTTCATCACCATTCTCCTCTTTACATCCCTAAATGAAAGACTCTTCGTTCCCCTGGCTCGAAAGCTTACCCACAATGCACAGGGGCTGACAAGCCTCCAAAGGATTGGAGCTGGACTCTTTCTTTCAATACTAGCCATGGTGGCTGCTGCTAGCATTGAAAAAGAAAGAAGGGAAACTGCTATTCAACAATCTATAAAGATAAGCGCCTTCTGGCTAGTCCCTCAATACTTCCTAGTGGGTGCCGGGGAGGCTTTCGTCTATGTTGGACAGCTTGAGTTTTTCATCAGAGAGGCGCCAGCAAGGATGAAATCAATGAGCACTGGGCTTTTCCTCAGCACCATCTCAATGGGTTTCTTTGTTAGCAGTTTGCTGGTGTCTTTAGTTGACAAAGCTACCAAGAAAATCTGGCTGAGGAACAACTTGAACAAGGGGAGGTTGAATAACTTCTATTGGTTACTAGCAGTGCTAGGAGGGTTGAACTTCTTCGTTTTCCTAGCATTTGCAAGGGGACATCAGTACAAAGTCCAGCACTATATCAAGCCCAAAAACTGTAACGAGAAAGGGTTTAAACCTGCAGGTGATTTGACTGCTTTAGAGATGGTGAAGGAGGAGGTAATGATTTAACTGTCATGAACATGCTCAAGGAAAAGGACATCAATAAATAGGAAGCACCCTAGTGAGAAAGGGTTTAGAACTGCAGATGATTTGACTGCTTTAAAGATGGTGAAGGAGGAAGGAATGATTTAACTGCCATAAACATGCTCAAGGCAAAGAACATCAATAAATAGGAAGGACCCTAGTCTACAGCTCTTCAAGGCCTTCCTAATGTTCTAAGATTTTCAGACGTACTGAAAGTTTATACTCAATTTTCAGACGTACTGAAAGTTGAGCTACTTAAGACGCCATGTTGTGTGCCTATTCTGTGTATGGTAATGCACAATTTTCAGGTTCTTATTTTAGAACCAAGTATTTATTACACAAGCACCAGTTAAACTACAAAGCTTTTAGAAGCAAATGATGTTGCTAATTTAGAATTCTGATATTTATGTCAATACCCGAGAAAAGAGATATATAATCCACTGACTCCAGCATGTCGACTAGGGAAAAGTGCAATTCCAGTTAACTGGATCAACCATCCTTCTATAAATACGGCACTAAAAGAAAAAACAGTTATCTTGACAAACAGATGCCCATTTAAGAAACAGAAAGCTGACCTCCGAAGAATTACATAGAGCAAAAGCTCACTCTAAGAACTGCTTGCAGAGGCAGGTAAGTGGTTTATGACCAATGGAGGGCGTACAGCTCGGTGGTTTACATCATTTTGTTTGCGGGCCTTGTACATCTCTTCTGTCTCAATCACAACTAACCTCTTCACCTGAAGGGAAAAGGAATTACATTCAAAATAATGACCTAAGAGTCCAAGCAATGATGATTTACAATTTAAGTCCTTATATTTCTGATAAATCACAAATGCAGACTTAATCTGAGTTTATATAAAACCTGCTGGAGCATTCCCCTGACTGTAGGAGTATTCCATCGCATGACGGTCCGATTGCACTTACGAAGACGCAATGCCTCTAAGGTACGCCTGTGAAGTCTCCTAGTTCCTGGAATGCCCCTCACCAAAGTTATATACAGGTGCGGACTCCATGCAATTGGAACTTGGGCTTTGAAGGCTTTGAATGCATTCATGTTTTCTCTTTTGCACCTGAATTGTCCAAAAAACGAAAGGAATGGTGCTTTGCACATAAAATGAAATTCTACAGTGACAGATACTTAAAGAAGAGAAAGTCGGAATGAAAATACAGAAAACGCATTCAAACCACAAAGGAAAACAATAACTCGTCTGTTATATTATATGAAAAGCACAAAAAAAGGCACATCAATGTCAACTGACTGTTATTGAGTAATGAAGGCTGAAGAAACCTATTCTCTAATAAAATCTCTAGAGATCACAAATATACCCACATCCTGTCCTACTTTATCAGTAAATATCAAGACATTGAATCAGTAAGACTATTTACAAATCTAGATATTTAAGGATATCCCTGAATTGTCCAAAAAACATCTTAGCAATGGTGCTTTGCACATAAAATGAAATCCTACAGTGACAGATACTTAAAAAAGAGAAGACTCCAAGTAAAGGAATGAAAATACAGAAAACGCATTCAAACCACAAAGGAAAACAATACCTTGTCTGTTATATTATATGAAAAGCACCAAAAAAGGCACATCAATGTCAACTGACTCTTATTGAGTAATGAAGGCCGAAGAAACCTATTCTCTAATAAAATCTCTAGAGATCACAAATATACCCACATCCTGTCCTACTTTATCAGTAAATATCAAGACATTGAATCAGTAAGACTATTTACAAATCTAGATATTTAAGGATGTCCCAACTGTTACTCAATTCCATTATGAAAAATCAGTGCAAAACCCCAAAATCTGATAAAATTTCCAGCCAATAAACAAATTGTCAGCTTATAGTAACTTCCCAACATTTGTTCGCCCCTCGCTCAATATCTGATTCAGATAAACAAAGTATGCTCTATTCAAGATAGACAGAAAGAATCCAACGATTCATCGAAAAGTTGGCGTGCAAAATTTATGAATGGATTGTATTAGCAGAAAAAGAATCACATGGGCCCAAACTAGTTACAAAGTTAATACCAAGATAACGAAACAGGGACAAACAGAGAGTAGAAGAAATACTATACAAAGACAGACCACGAAGACATAGCAAAGCTCAAACCAAGGTACAAAAATTAACAGAGTACAGCTTAACCAAAGAAGTGACACACACACACACACACTCTAACACACATACACACACTGTGGCATTGCATCGAACAGATAGCGTGCATACTTTGAACCAACTAAGACAAAAGAACCCTGCTTTTGTTTGTTTAAAATTCACCAATCCCACTTTTCAAACTTTCCTTTGCAAGTTTAATTGGACGCAAATCTAATGAAAATGACTAAGATATATCTAATTAATCAAATAGCAAGGTACCTGAATTACTAAGCTCGTCTACTCAGAGAAAAAACTGACTTGTGACTCCGTCCCGCAGCAGAGGCTGCTCGTTCTCTTGTAAAATGGCTGCGAGAGCCACCGAAGGACGCTCATTTTCTTGTGGTAGCTCCTAGGCTATAATTTCCCAAGCCCAGCATAAATGCAGGCAATGATGTAGGCCCATCTCACAAATATTTGATTTTAGATTTTCCTATTACCCTTACTTATTAAATCTCCAAGCTAGCCCATTACTAAGGTGATGGTATTAATTGCATGGTTGAAGCTTTTATGTTGTTGCAAGAGTTTTTTTATTAAAAAATAAAATAATATCATTCTATAAAATATATTTTAAAAAAATAAAATTAGTTTTATTTTTATTTTAAATTGATTAATCATGTTATGAGTTGACCCACCAAGTTTATTAAATTTAATTTAGAGTTTTGATACGTTAGTTACTTGGTTGACATAATAGTCTAAATTTAATAAAATTATTATTAATTGAGATAAGTTAAAGAAAAATTTATTATAATTATCCTATAGTTTAATTGGTTTTACACTTATCCTTTTTATTTTAAAAAATTATAGTTTCAATATAAAATATATTAAATTATAGAATAATTTCGAATGTAAATTATCACGTGCACATTAAAATTTTAGGATGAAATTATAATTTTTAAAAACAAGAAGAGTAAATATAAAAATGACTTATAATTTAGGTTAACAAACTTGTTTTTAAGAAAATTACAATTTTATGCTGAAATTAATAATCATTTTATTAAAATTTGTTAAAGAAAAAATCAATGAAAAAAAATCAAAGTGTGAAACATAGAAAATTTTCATGGCCAATCTCAAATTTGAAAGAAAAAAAATTAATCCATTTATATTTTTTCTTACCTTTTAGTCCTATTAATTTTTTTAATTTTTTTAAAATTTCATTTTTGACAAAGAGAATTAATAGAAAATCATTTGAAAAAAATTAAGAAGATAAAAAGTTTGCAAATAGCCACTTTTCAACTACAAAACTCATAGTTTTTTGAGTCAATAAGTTACATTAGATAAAAAAAGTTTAATGTTAATAGACTTTTCTATAAACATGTCTTAAAAAACATATTAGATTTTGTTAAGATTTATTATTAAATTCATTTTTTTTAGTAAATTTAGAGTGTTTTGGGATTGGCAACCGGTTTATAGAAGTTTTTTATAGCATTTTCAAAATACTTTAAAGTAAAAATAACTTAAAATTGGGTTTTTATAGTCCAAAGACCCTGATTTTTAGATCACCTCTAGTTTAAAAAAAAAAGCCATAATAATAAGCAACAAATTACATGCTTAAAAAAATAAAATGGATGGTTAAGAGAAAAAAAAGGCATATAGCTTTTTTATTAAGGTTAGGCGCATGAGTTTAGCATATTAACGCCTGATTTATTTTTGTTTTTTTGTTTTTTTCATTAATTTGTTTCTATTAAATTATTATTTTTTAATAACAATTAATCTTTTTACACTTTTGTAGTTTTTTTAAGGGGATTAGTTTGATTTGTCTTGAATTCTTTTCTTTTATGTTTTATGCGAATTCATTGTATTTAAATAAATTTTTTATAAAAATAAAATTATTTGTTATCAGTAACAACAATTAGTCACTAAGATAAAATGAATGAAAAATAAAAAATAAAAAAGACAATCAAAGTAAAACATTTGCATGTTCATCTATATTTTATTTCTACTATAAATATTAATTTTCCAATTTAATATTTAATTAGAGTTAACAATTCTTTTTGAATTATCACTTCATATATTTTTAAATTTTTTTATAAATCATAAATATCATTTTTTTCATTTCTCAATTAAATAAAAAATTTAGATAGAATTGAATTTTATAATTTATTTTAATTTATTTTATATAAAGCTATTGTGATCTCAAATAAATATCTTAATATTGGTTTCATATCATGCATCTCTCCATTATATCTATTACAAAGATTAACTTTTCAATCTAATATTTAATTGGTGTTAACAATTCCTTTTGATTATCACTTCATATATTTAAATATATATTTTTTCTCATTTCTCGATTTAAAAGAAATATGTTAAGAATCGGATTTCATGATTTATTTTGATTTGTTTTCTATAATGTTATTACAATCTCAAACAAATGTCTTAGTATTACGTTAATGTTCAATTTTTTGAGCATTTATTTTTTATTATATAATTAAATAAAAAATAATTTCTCAAAAAATACAAAGTTATTCAACTTGTGAACTCATGACATGGGTTGTGAGTTTGATTAGGTAATCTGGGTTGACTTAGATTAATCTAATATATTGTTATCTTAATATATTTTTTTTAAATGCCACCTTAAGATTTTTTAAAAAGTCAAATTATATTTTTACAGTCGTTTGGGTTATCTTTGAATTCGAATTGAGAGGTTTAAAGGCTGGATAATTTCCAAACACTTTGATCTAGGTAAAACATCAATCAAAAAGTTTGAAAGTTGATGTGTTAAGCTGAGTTTAATGACATCATAAAAACATGTTCCACGACCTTTACATTTATTTTTTGAGTTCAAAAAAATCTTCATCCTACCCGATCATAATGCATAACAATTATCTAATATGACATAAAACAAATAAACCTAACATATATATTTTATTAGAAAAATAAAGATTCACACACACTTAAATAGTAGGAATAAAAATAAAGGGATTAAAATAGAAACCATTGAAAAGTTTATGCACCAGAAATATTGATAACTAAAAAAAAACAATCAAATCTGATTGCGGTTAGTGTTGTTCAAGGAATTATTTAAATTATTTTTGATAATATAGGGATTAATTGATTAGTTTTTAATGAACTACTAGAACCAATCTATAAGTACTCCCAAAAAATTGTATATAAACCCAGAAAGAATGACGAACGAGAGGTCAGGTGATTGATGATAAAAGAAACCGAACAAAAAATGAATAGAAAAGCTTTAACGAAAGCTTACAACCCAAACTCTCTCGCTGTCACTGATAAACTATTTTTTGCAGGTCTCTCTCTCTCCCTGTCGCCCATGCTTCAACTGTTGTAGACTATCTTGTCTCTACATGTACGATGATATTTGTCCCCTTGCGCACGTAGATTTTTGTGTGTTTTCGAGGTTTGTCATGGTCAATTGACGAGAAGTCATTAAAAGATGCTTTCTCTTCCTTCGGAGATGTCTCACTGAAGGAGCTACTACTTTGGTAAACCTGGTAATAATCCCAAAACACTATTACCTTGATTAGTGCCGACTTGGGCTCTGAAATTGTTATGTGAACCACTTGTTCGATGAATTTTCTCACTGAATATTTCAATCAATCCCTTTTGTTCAATCTAATCTGATAGGCGGTGATCTTTAATTCATTGGGATGGTTGTGGTTTAGTGAGGATATTGTATGATAAAGACAGGGGCAGATCGGTTTGTCAGTTTTTCTAAAGAAGATGAAGCTGTGTCTGCAAAAGATGCAATGGATGGGAAGGTGACCATGGATTCATTTCCTTTCCTTTCCTTTTCTTTTTTTGTTACTGCTCGAAGGTGCTTTGATAGTAAATAATTTCATTGCAGGCATTGTTAGGTCGTCCATTGATGATAAGCTATGCTCTAAAGGCGGACCGGTCGTTGTCCCTCGCCTTCGAAATGGAGGAGATGGTGCCTCTAATGGCAATGCTAGAACTTCTCCGAATTTATTTAGCATAACGAGAGGGGAAGATCAAAATGAAAAATAAAGATTTTTGTTTCCATATTATTGTATGATTGATGAGCTTTGATTATCGTTGAATAAATCGTCTTTGTGTTGTGTGGGAAGCGAATTATTTTCTTCTTTGATTTATAGTTAATTTTATTTATCTTTTCGGGAAAAACTTGGTTTAATTTTTCTTTATATATGTTTTTTTGGAAAAAGCCTCTTCTTCTTTTTTTATTCTTTTTTTTTTATGAATGGAGTTGTAATATCTTGAATTATCAATTTTATCTCAAATATATATTTATATTTTTACATTAGACACAATTATCTTTTCATCTATCATCGATCATCAATTCTGAAATGGTTAATGTATCTACTAGTTGTTTCCTTCTATTTGGTTGCAAAACAATAATTAAAAAGAAAAGTTCCGATAAATGTAATTTTAGTATCAAATGAATAAATTATAGTGCAAAAAAAAAGGGTGGTTTTTACTATTTAGGGTTTTTTTGATAATTTCTCTAACTTAAGTAATTAAACTCGAAGAGATGTTTTAACACTTAATATCTTAAAGTTAATTGACTTGGAAGTTATTAACCCAACGCTTATTACATAGATTAAAAAGAAAAAACTTAAGGGAATTAAACATTACACTATACGTATCAATATTTATAACCCGAGTTATTAAGCTCGAAGGGGTGTCTCAACACTTAATGCCTTAAGACCAATTGGTCGGAGAGTCATTAGCTGAAAACTTATTACATGGGTTAAAGATATATATATTAAAAAAAAAAGAGAGAGAAAAAAAAAAGAAGATAATAATCATAACTCAAGGAAGTTAACCGGTTAAACTGTTTATTCATATTTTGGTAAAGAGGTATTAAGCAGATATATAAATTTAATGAGACTTTGTTAATCTGAATAGATTAATAGAAGTTGAATGATGAATGCTTTACTTTGTGCAACTTGTAAATTGTTTTTCTATGTTAACGTTTTGATTACTAGGGACTAGTAATAAGCTAGTTGGGGACTGTGATTAATACTTAAAATTATATTTTTATTAAGGTTTTATATCAACATTTTACATTTGAAGTATCAATAGCTCCTTCACTAAAGCATGTTTTCTAATAACAAGTTTGATACTATAAGATACCCTTCATTTATGGTAAATATTCATCTTAAATGCAAGCCTATCACATAAATCAAAGAATTGATTAATGAGTTCAACTACTGAAATTGAGAAGACAAATAGAGGGTGAAATTTAAAAAGAGATGTTGGTTCAGTTCAAACTAGAATATTATTCAGTCATTGGTTCATATTTAGAGTTGTAGATTTTGAATTTCAATTTGGTTTATATAGCTAGAAAGCTAAGATATAAGCCTAAAACATTCATGAGGAATACATACTTAAT